GCTAGGCGACAGCGAGCAGCAAAGTCGACGAGCTCAGTAACTAGGGCATACGCAGCAGCGGACTCGAAAGAAGGGTCAGTGACGACAGTAGCAAGGAGACGCGTGACAGTAGGACTGGCAGCACAAAGAGAGTCCGACTCCGGGTCGGCAAGAGCAGGAAGAGAGGACTCAGGAGGAGAAAGCAGAGGTGCACGCAGAGGAGCAGTAGACGGATGCAGAGACATCGTGTGTGTGCCAGGGACAGGAGGAGGACACGGACGCGAACCACGACCACTAGCGTGAGCAGGACAGACAGGCGACGTAGGGCGAGACGCAGGCTCACGACGCTCAGTAAGACCTCCAGTAGGACCAGCATAGGGAGAAGGAGCAGGCAAAGGGGAGGTAGGCTGTAGATGTAACTGTGACGGGACAGGCTGTTGACCCTCGAAGGGAGGAGGAGGACCAGTAGAGGGTGGAAGACCAAGAACCTGCTGCAGGAGTGGAACAAAGTACGGTCGAGGCCGCGTGGCGACGCCAGAAACAGCAGGGACAGCACCAGTAGCACCAGCAGGAGCACCCGATCCAGCAGCACCTCCAGCAGCTCCAGAACCTCCGTCAGCACCTGGAGCACCCCCAGCAGGACCGCCAGAGGTAGTCTCAGCGCCAACACCCTCAGCAGCACCAGCTCCAGTCGAATCTGCAGGCCCAGCACCTCCAATACTCCCAGTACGAGCACCTCTGGGACCCGCGACAGCAGCACCCTCAGCAGCCGAAGAACCTCCAGCACCAGCAGCACGGCTCCAGCGCCGTGCAAACCACTCGCGCAGCTCCTGTGGAGAGAGTGGCTCCTGGCGAGACGAAGCACCCGGAGAACCTCCAGGCGGAGCACCCCCACGCTCAGCACCCCCAGGCCCAGCACCCCCAGGCAAAGCACCCCTAGACGTAGCACCCCCAGGCCCCGCACCCCCAGGCTCAGCACCCCCAGGCGTAGCACCCCCAGGCTTAGCACCCCCAGGCTCAGCAGCCCTAGGCTCCGCACCCCCAGTCTTAGCACCCCCAGGCTCAGCACCCTCAACAGCACCAGAGTAACCAGTGACCTCGACAGGCTCAATTGCGTCTACGTGGGACACACCTGAAGGGGCAGGACCCTGAGGGGGGAGGGGGTCTACCGGGGGGGGACCTGGTACCAAGAAGAGCGGGGGCGGGGGGAGGGACGGAATGCGGTAGGGGAAGAGGCGGTAGTAGGGTACCGACTCGTCGAACGTGACGTCCTGAGAGGACAGAACACAGCGAGAGGTGGGGTGGTAGAACTGCCACCCAGGCACGTCAGGGGGGAACCCCAGGAAGACGCAAGGAGCAGCACGAGGGGACAGCTTCTCCGCAGACAAGTCGCGGACAAACGCCCGAGATCCCCAGACCCCATCGCCAACCTTCCCGGTCCACAGCAAGGCTGGGGAGGTCTTCGGCCTTGAGACCCTGGGGTGAAGGTTGATCTGATGCGCCGCGTACCTGACCGCAAACGGCCACAGAAAATGGGGGGCAGCCGCATGCATCATAGACGTACGAGCGACGTCCATGACCATGCCAATGCGGCGCTCAGCAATCCCATTTTGCTGCGGCGATTCCGGAAGCGTGAAGGTCTGACGGATGCCTCGTGCTCGACAGTAGGCTCGCAGAAGGCCAGAGGAGAACTCTCCGCCTCTGTCCGAGTGCAGACGCAGAACAAGAAAGTTCGAGCCAAAGCTCAGCCTGAGCTAGAGACGAGTTGCGCGGATCCAGCTGATCAGCACCTCAGTGACATCACCCTTGCTGCGCAAGGGGAAGACTGCGGTGTAACGCGAGTAGTCATCAACAACGAGCAGGAAGTAGCGCTCGTGACCCTGCCTACGGACGTGGGCTGGGCCCCACACGTCCATGTGAAGCGTCTGCAACGGGGCCTCTGTCGGAGGAAACTGGGAGGAGTGAGGGGCAGCACGCTGGCGCCCCTCGACACAGGGGACACAGGTAGGGCCAGGGCCCTGAGGAAGGGGAGGGAGGGACCGGGGGAGACCAGACACTAGAAGACGGGAGGCCATGCCTCTGAGCCGAAGCAGAAAGGGGTGACCAAGACGGTGGTGCCAGAGGAGTGTCTCGTGAGACAGGAGACGACACGAACAGGGGGCAGACTCAGGACCAGACCTGGACGCTGCAGCAAACACCTGGCCCGACGTAACGACCCTACCAGACTCAGCAACGGGAGGAGACGCAGTGGTCAGTGTGTACAGGCTCGACCCCGGCTGACGTGTAAACGTAGCCAGGTGTCGGCCCGTGCTAGCCTATGTACAGTGCGTCACCCTCTGATGCGCAGGAGTGAACTGGTGGACACCCGCATCCTGGAGGTCAGCACCACTCACCAGGTTCGTAGAGAACGAGGGGAGGTAGAGACCAGACATGGTGCCAGAGGGAGCCGCCAGACACGGGAGGACGGTGGAGAAGCGAGACAGGACAGGACCCCCAGAGGGGTCAGCTAGAGACACTGCAACCGTGCGACTCAGCGGCGTGAGTGTGGTGCGGTCCCGAAAGAAGGAGCGAGACGCCCCAGAGTCAAGGGTGAAGGTGACGGAGGCCGAAGCCGACGTAGTACTTGAGAGCGCAGACTCACCAGTACCTGAGGACGCAGACACACTAGCACCTAGAGCAGCAGCGTCGCAAGCACCTAGGGCAGGCTCCTCACCAGTACCTAGAGCAGCAGTCTCAATGCCCGGATCGGGCGGGAAACACTGGTAACAGTCACCCTCATCACTAATAGACAGAGCATACATGGCAGAGAGAATAGCATCAAAGTCAAGATCATAGATGGCAACACCCGCCCTAGACAGCTCGCCCAAGCGAGGGATCTGTGAGGCCTCCGGGAACTGGTGACGCCACGCGTCCGTCAGGCGGCCAAAGCAGCGCTGGGTGGGGTGGGCTCCCCCACACTGCTCACCCGCACGGTCGCCGGTGCGTAGAACGTAGGAGCACGGACCAAAACCCCCACCCCGCTGGCGCGCAGTGTACCACTCACGGAGCTGCTGAGGGGACAGGGACTCACGACCGCGCTGCTGCTGCTGGCGCGAGCCACCACCGGAGCCACTCCTCTGCGAAGACCCGCGACCAGTACCACCGCCACCCCCGCCGCCTCCGCCGCCTCCGCTGCTGCCGCTGCCTCCGCCTCCTCCTCCGCCGCCGCCACCTCCGCCACCTCCGCTCCCACCGCCACCGTCGCCGCCACCTCCGCCTCCACTGCCGCCACTGACCCCTCCACCCCCACCGCCACTCCCACTGCCACCCCCACTCACCCCACTGCCGCCACCTCCACCACCACCGCCCCCGCTCACTCCTCCAGCGCCCTTGCCCCCCTTGCCCTTGCCAGGGCAGCGTCTCCCGCTAGGGGCAGACGCCGCACCGACCGACTCAAGACCAAGGAGGTCGGCAGCAGCAGCAGAGGCAACAGAGGGCAGAAGGGGGGAGGGGGAACACCCCTCAAAGATGGGGGTGCGCGGGTCACCACGAGAGGCCCCTACAGCCACTATGCTCTTCTCGGCCGCTAGGAGGGACTTCTCGAGGAGGTCAACAGTGAGAGTGGTGGGACAGATAGAGAGGAAGTGGTCCCTGACTACACGAAGGGAGTCAGGGAGGTGAGTGACTATGTAGTAAAGAGTGATGTACATGGGGGGGGGGGGGGTTCTTGGCGCAGAAGTCAGGAGGAAGTGCAGCGCGGTAGCGAGTGTCACTAGTGCGGAGGTGCGTAATGAGGTCAGCGACTGTGGGAAAGGCAGCAAGGTCAGGAAAGAGGTACGGTAGCATGAGACGGCTCAGTGCAGCAGTGGCAGGGGAGGAATAGCGCGCAACTACAGCGTCGTACAAGGTCTGAGCACTCTTGTACTGACTAAAGTGCGCACGCTCGGAGGTAGGGAGGTGGCGACGCACAGCAAGACGTGCAGCAGCGTCGCGTGTGGGCCACTGGGAGCGAACGGTGGCGTCAGCATCAGCAGAAGGGGCAGGGGAAGCGCCAGAGGTGAGGTCAAAGAGAGAGAGGCCGTCTGCCCTATCGCACTATCACACATTTTTATCCATTTACCATCATGCACGTGTGCGTTTTTATATTCCACATTATACGTTATGCATACTAAAGCATTCTCCATGCATAAACATCTATTCCACTTGTTTCATTACATTCATATAAGTAAGTAATTATAATTGCACCGAACAGCTCGGTAAAAATATACTGCAAACAGGACAACAAACTATTACAATGAAGGAAAATCATTCCCCAAAAGACAGTGAACAATATCTAAAACTGTTCAACATGCACAGTATGGGAAGTGTATTACTGTAGTTTACGAATTTTTATTTTCATGTTTTAATAAATATAAATGTGAAAACAAAATTGGGCAAAATCGATTGTAAAGGATTGCTTCGCAACCCAAAAAAAAAGAAAGCACTATCTAATAGAAAGGATACAAGATGGTCTGAAATGTATATATGTGTATATATAAATGGGAAAAGAAATGTAGCTGTCTCTGTGGTGTTCAATTGAGATGGATTGATGTTTCCAGGGATGCATCGCGATTGAGAGCGGTTCGGTAGGCTTACCGAAATATACGGAGCGAATCACGACGTGGAGGAGAGAGGGGAGGGGCGGGGCGGTCCGAACACTGACGGCACCTACGGAACCTCCGCCACAGTCGGTCTTGTACACCCGCAGGAGTTCTCGATGGTGGTCATGTTCGTTTGACATCACGGTTATTTTTGGTTCTATCTGGTTCTTTATAATTTGTGCATGTCGCAGTACGTTTCAACGGTTTTTTGTACGGTGACGATTTTGGGAGTTAGCTTTCTGCTCAAGTGCCTGAGGAGAGCACAGTACTCGTGATGAACAGTAAGGTTTAGCACAGTGACGCTGACGGTGACCGTGACGGACGGTGACGGTGACGTTGACGGAGACGGAGACCGGCAGGTTATTACTACTCAGTTGCTTTCGCAAGCGGCCCGAAAATATCATGCAGGGCTCACAGGGTGCAAATTCGTCTTCTCAACTCGAGGTCGAAATTAGTGGCGCTTCGCGTCGTCCAGCTAAGCACGTAAGCTTCCAGGCGCCCGAAGACCCGTACATCATTGAGCATGACGTGGCCCAGCCTCCAGATGACGTGGCGAATCCTCTTCCCGAGGTTCCGGGGCAAGAGCTCCCTCTCCCGGGATTTGTCGATTACGAATCGGAATCATCTTTCGGACGCGAAACGTCAGCCGCCGATTTGGAAACGGGCTTCCGCGTGCGACAATTGGATTTCGACGCGACGCGCGAGACGCACTACGTGATCGTGGTGCACGGAACCTTCGACGCGCCACCGTCCGACGGAACGCGCACGTGGTATCAACCCGCGGATCCCGGCGAGCAAAACTTTTGCTCCAAAATTGGCGCTCTTCTGGCGCGAGGGCCGTTAAGAGCAGACAGCGTGTGGCGGGAGTTTCCGATCGGCAGCTTCGCGGCCGGCAAAGCTGCTCGCGGCCGGCAAGGCGCTGCGCCGTACCCTTTCCACTGGGACGGCACGAACACGCACAAGGGGAGGGTGGAAGCTGCCGAGAAGGTGCGGGAGGGGTTGGGTCTAGTCTAGTAGTGTGATTGTGGGTAAAAGGGTTACCCTGTTACAAGGACAACTTTCCTACCCTCTCTCTCTCTTCCCCCCTCCCCTCCTTTCAACTCTTACCCGTTCCCCTTCCTTCCCCTTTCCCCCTCCCCCCCCCCCCTCCCCTCACTCCTCCCCCATCTCCCCCCCGGGTCTCAGCTCTCTGTGCTTATAACGGATATTGCCCACAGTGACCCTGCAGCGAGGATACACATCATCGCTCACTCCCATGGGGGAAACGTGCTGCTCAAAGCGGCAGAGGTGGTCAGTGCTCCTTTGGACATTTTCACAATGATACACTTGTCCATAACTTTTTCCGCACCTTTTTTTTTTTTTTTACTCTCAAAAATCCAATAAATATTTGTACCTGTTTACCTGTTTCCCTCCCTGTCCCCCACTGTCCCCCATCTCTCCTTCCTCTCTCGACCATGACCACCATCTCTCCCTCGCCAGTACATGCGACGATTAAGCAACCAGTCACCAGCTGACCTGCACCCATTGGTGGAGCAAGAGTTTTGGGCGGCACACAGGCCCGGATACGATTTGATTCGCAAGTGGAGGAGTCCGAATCAAGTCAAATCTCGCTGGTCTGGGTGGCGGCGGTGGTTGCCCACGCCCATCGTGTTTCAAAGGTGCTGCCCTTGAGCCGACACATGATTTCTACGATGGTTTTCTTGTTTCATATATTTTCTGTACTTGAATTGAGCTCACTATGATTTTTTTTTTTTTTTTTTTTTTTTAATGTAGTATCTAAATATTCTCCCCTATTGCTCCATCCATACCCCTCTCCATCCATATCCCACTCTCTCCGAAGAGGCCTACACCCCAGCACGCACAAGCTAAAACACCAGGAAGGCCACCCCTGGGGGCGCTGCTGCTGGCTTGACTCCCTCCTTTCCTCCCCTTGAAGATTCAATCAACACCCCTTCCTCTCCCCACCCCGTCCCAACCAGCCTACACCCCAGCACGCACAAGCACAAGAGCCAGGAGTGCTACCCCTGGGGGCGCTACCGCTGGCTTGACTCCCACCTCGGCCTCCCCTTAAGCAGTCATTCAGTTAACACCTCTTCCTCTCCCCCCTCCCATCCCCTCCCAACCAGTCTCCACCCCAGCACGCACAAGCACAAGCACCAGGAGCGCTACCCCTGGGGGCGCTACCGCTGGCTTGACTCCCACCTCGGCCTCCCCTTAAGCAGTCATTCAGTTAACACCTCTTCCTCTCCCCCCTCCCATCCCCTCCCCAACCAGTCTCCACCCCAGCAAGCACAAGCAGAAGAGCCAGGAGCGCTACCCCTGGGGGCGCTACCGCTGGATCGACTCGCTCCTCGGCCTCCCCTTAAGCAGTCATTCAGTTAACACCTCTTCCTCTCCCCCCTCCCATCCCCTCCCCAACCAGTCTCCACCCCAGCACGCACAAGCAGAAGAGCCAGGAGCGCTACCCCTGGGGGCGCTACCGCTGGATCGACTCGCTCCTCGGCCTCCCCTTAAGCAGTCATTCAGTTAACACCTCTTCCTCTCCCCCCTCCCATCCCCTCCCCAACCAGTCTCCACCCCAGCACGCACAAGCAGAAGAGCCAGGAGCGCTATCCCTGGGGGCGCTACCGCTGGATCGACTCGCTCCTCGGCCTCCCAGCCACCCGGCAGCGCCTCTTCCTCTCCCACCGCCTCGCCACCTCCCCCCTCTCCAACGCCCTGGGCTCTCTCGTGTTCCTGGGAACGCCGTTCTATGTGAAGAAATGGGACCGCGCAGGGGTGTTCCGGCTGGTGGTGGCGACGGTGGTGTCTGGTGCAGTGGTGTTTGGAGTGGTGCTGGGGTATGTGGTGCTCTGGGAAGTGGTGGTGATGGAGGCGGCGCATTTGGAGGTGAACCGGCTGATGCTGTGGCCTCTGGTGGTGGTGGCGATTGTGGGGCTGTTTGGGGCCGTCAGTATCGCCGTGCAAGCTTATTTATCTTTCGAGGTATGTGACGAGCCTAAATTCTTATCTAGTGTGCTAGTCAGTTTCCCCCCCAGAAAAAAAAAACAAAAACAAAAAAAAGAGAGAAAGAAAGAAAGAAAAGAAAAGAAAAAAAAACACACACACACACACACACACACACACACACACACACACACACACACACACACACACACACACACACACACACACACCACTGGTTCATCTGTTCAGTTCTGTTACCGGCCTCCCTCTCCTCTCTGCCTTCCTCCCTGCAGTCGTGGCACCAACCGGCCTACTACAACGGCAACATCTACCACGCGCCCGGTTACCACTGGTCGCCTGCCATGTCAGCACTCGTGATCCACGCTGGCAAGCTGGATGAAGCCAGCCTGGCACTTTCCGTCGAGCCAATTGCGCGCGCCTACATCTTTCCCCAACTGAGGGAGTTAATCAAACTCTCCTTCTGGTTCCCCCTTCCTCCCCTCCCCACCTCCGCCTCCTCCTCCTCTCCCTCCTCTTCCTCGTCTTCCGCGTTCCTTTCCTCCTCCTCTCACTCTCGTCCTCACAACACCCAAGCACGCCCCTTCCTCCTCTGGTTCCTATACTTCATCAATCTCATTAGAGTGCTTCTCTGGAACATCATTTTCCTCGTGCCCTTCGCCCTCCTCTCCCTCATTTCCCACATACTGGCACCGGCGTTAGTCGAGACAGTACGGAGCGTGATAGTAACAATCGCATTCGGTCTTTCCCCCAACGAGCTAAGCTTCGCAAGTGTGTATGTAGATGAAGTGTTAGATCTCCACCTGTGGTCACACCGCGTGGAGCACTGGAACGTTCAGAAGCTTCTGGCTGAGGCCAAGACACAGTCTTTGCAGGGGAAGCTGTTACCCGGTTACCACGACGATACTGTAGATGCGGGTGGGGGTGACAGTGAAGGGGGTGAGTACATGGAGGGGCTGGGTCTGGGTGGGGAGGGGGGTGAGGCGGGTTGGCTTGAGGAACAATTGTTATTGTCACGGGGAAGGGAAGTGGGGAGGAATGGGGAGAGAGAGAAGGGGAGGCAGGAGGGGAGGGAGGGGAGAGAGGGGGAAGGTGATGGGATGGAAATAGAAGCAGCGGCAGGAGCAGCAGGAGCAGGAGAAACAGCAGGAGCAGGAGCAGGAGCAAAAACAGGAGCAGGAGCAGGAGCAGGAGCAACAACAGGAGCAGGAGCAGGAGCAGGAGCAAGAGCAGAAGGAGCAGGAGCAGGAGCAGGAAAAACAGCAGGAGCAGGAGCAGGAGCAAAAACAGGAGCAGGAGCAGGCGCAGGAGCAACAACAGGAGCAGGAGCAGGAGCAGGAGCAAGAGCAGAAGGAGCAGGAGCAGGAGCAGGAGCAGGAGCAGGAGCAGAAGTAGCAGCAACAGCAACAGCAGCAGCAGGAGGAGCAGAAGCAGAGGCAGAAGCAGCAGGAGCAGCAGCAGCAACAGCAGCAGCAGAAGCAGGAGGAGCAGAGGCAGAAGCAGCATCAAAGCCTCCCACACACCTCCCTAGAAAGTTTCCCTCAACACCACACACCATCGCATATCACACCTCTGCTTTGCGACCCAAACATCCCTATCACCCCAGTCCCACCCCTCGAAATAATCACCTGCCTGTAACACTCCTAGAGCATCACGTGCCTTCCTTCCCGTCACCGCATCAGCACATGGTGGTAACCCCGTTACAGCACCAGCACATGGTGGTAACCCCGTTACACCACCAGCACATGGTGGTAACCCCGTTACAGCACCGCCTTCTTGTAATGCAGAAGACCCTGAGGAGGAGGAGACAGATTGCAGGAAACGAATCACGAGTAGATTCGTTCGGATCTTCTCTTTTCGTCCCATCTGACACTCCTTCTGCAGGTGATGCTGCTGCTGCTGCTGATGATGATGATGATGCTACTGCTGCTGGTACAGCTTTGCCTATTGCTCCTTCACACACTGCCCGGGTGAAACTGCAAGGAAATGATAGGGCCCGCTCTTTTGCCCGCACATGGCTTTCCCGGGCAGCCCGGTCGGAAAAATTAACGGAGAGTCAACTGCTCCGAAATAAATCCTTGGGAAATCACGCTGTGGAGAGAAATTTCTCGGTCAGACCGAGGGCAAAAAGTGTAATGGCAAACGTGAAAGGAGTCCCTAGGAGTAACAGCAGCAGCAGCAGCAGCAGCAGTGGGAGCGAGAGCGGGAGCAGGAGCGATAACAGGGGGGACAGTAGGGGGAATCCTTGGGAATGGGTCAGGTTTTTTGAAAGAAATGGGGAGGCAAGTGGCAGCAGGAGCAGTAGCAACAATAGGGGCCAGAACCCAAGGGAACTTGTTGACAACAGCAGCAACAGTGGGGGGCAGAATACAAGAGAACCTGTTGACAGCAGCAGCAGGAGGAGGAGCGAGAGCGGCGATGGCAGTAGGAGGAGCGAGAGCAGGGAAGGGAGTAGGAAGAACCTTTGGGGTTGGATCAAATGGGTTGAGGACGGCGAGGATGGTAACGATTTGGGTGAGAATAGTGGGCGCCAGGCTAAGGATGCTACTGAGGAGGCTACTATAGGGGATGGACGAGGAGCCTTAGGGCATGAGAGCGAGAGGGGGGATGGTGGTGTGGGTGAGATGGTGGGAGGTGGAGAAGGGAAGGGGGTTGAGGTGGGGGGTGCAAGGGGCATAAGGACGGTAAGGGGTGTTGGGGCGGCAAAGTGGAAGGGAGTGGGAGGCTGCATAGAGGCGCCTGTTTGTGATGATTCTGTGGGGGCGGTGGGGGCAGTGGGTGGGTTCGACGGTGGTTCGGTGGGTGCTTCGGCGGGTGGTTTGACGGGTGGTTCGGCGGGTGCAAAGTGGAAAAGAGTGGGAGGCTGCATAGAGGCGCCTGTATGTGATGATTCTGTGGGGGGGATCGTTGGTTCGGTGGGCGGTTCGGTGGGTACTTCGGCGGGTGCTTCGGCGGGTGACATAGGTGCTTCGTCGCTTGCAGTTTCATCTGCGGTTGAAGCGGACGAGGCGGAGGTGGATTTTCTCCTGGAGGAGCAGGAGGACAAGGAGGGCTGCGGCGGTAATGAGAACGATGAGAAGGCGAGAGAGAAGAGAGAGGAGCAGCAGCAGCAGCAGGAGCAGCAGCAGATGGAAGGGAGTGGAGAGCAACAGCAGCAGCAGCAGCAGCGGCAGCAGATGGAGGGGAGTGGAGAGCAGGAGCATCAGTTGCTGTACGAGTTTCTGTGGGAGGACAGCAAGCTTGAAGAGGCAGCAGCGGCGTCAGGGACGTATCAGCTGCTACGATCGGAGATGAGGAGAATGAAGAAGAACCCGCGGCTGACCGACAGAGAGTTCGTGCGGCAGGTACGGCACGCAGGGAGTTCGTGCGGCAGGCACGGCACGCAGGGAGTTGGTGCGGCAGGTACGGCACGCAGGGAGTTCGTGCGGCAGGCACGGCACGCAGGGAGTTGGTGCGGCAGGTACGGCACGCAGGGAGTTCGTGCAGCAGGTATGGCACGCAGGGAGTTCGTGCGGCAGGTACGGCACGCAGGGAGTTCGTGCGGCAGGTACGGCACGCAGGGAGTTCGTGCGGCAGGTATGGCACGCAGGGAGTTTGTGCGGCAGGTACGGCACGCAGGGAGTTTGTGCGGCAGGTACGGTACGCAGGGAGTTTGTGCGGCAGGTAAGGCACGCAGGGAGTTTGTGCGGCAGGTATGGCACGCAGGGAGTTTGTGCGGCAGGTAAGGATGGTGGCAGGTACGGATGGTGGCAGGTACAGATGGTGGCAGGTACGGATGGTGGCAGGTATGGATGGTGGCAGGTATGGATGGTGGCAGGTATGGATGGTGGCAGGTACGGATGGTGGCAGGTACGGATGGTGGCAGGTACGGATGGTGGCAGGTACGGATGGTGGCAGGTATGGATGGTGGCAGGTACGGATGGTGGCTGGTACGGATGGTGGCAGGTTCTGAGTTGCCTAGAAATATACAAGGCGCTTCAAGAGGAGATGAGAGTTCGTGCGGCAGGTATGGATGGTAGCATTACCTGCTTTTCAAGTATGATTTGACTTGAGTTCTGTCTCGTGGGGGTTTGCGGCAGGTATGGATGGTAGCAGCAACTTGAGAGGAATTTGAAGAACCCTCGGCTTTCCGGCAGAGATTTTGCGCGGCTGTTATGAATGATAACAATGACTTCTTTTTCAAGTATGAGTCGTGGGGCGCATCTTGCCACGTGATAAAAGTGTTGTTTTGAGACGTCTCAAAACAGCACTTTTATCACGTGGTTATGAATTACTTCGTTTCAAGTATGAGTAGTGGGGCGCTTCTTGCCTTTTCTCCCCACGCAGATCAAGCAGCTGTGAGTGATGAAAGAGGAGCATATAGGCGAGCTCACCGGCCGCTTTGACCTCAACCACGGGGCCTACTTCCGAGACCCGCGCATCCTCGCATTGATCTCTCATGCCCCATTGCCTCCCCGTTGTTTATGCAGATCAAGCAGCTGTGTGTGATGATCGAGGAGCATATTGGCGAGCTGACTGGTCGCTTTGACCTCAACCATGGCGCATACTTCCGAGACCCGCGCATCCTCGCTGTCATCGCACATTTCCTGCAGCATCGGGCTCTCCCTGATTGGTCCTGGTCCCTTGATGCGGATTTACTGCGTGTTCAGTCGTTGACTGAGCTTGCGCAAACAGCTTCAGGGCAAGGAACGGGCGGGAGAAGTGGTGGGGAAGGGGAGGGTTCGGGGGGTCTGGGTTGTGAGTCAGGTGCGACTGGTATGGCAGGTGTGGCAGGAGTGGCAGGCATAGGGGATGCAGCAGAAGGGGAGTTGGAGGAGTTACCAAATCTGGAACAATCAAAGCTGGGGATATCAAGCTCTGGGGATGGTGCGAGCAATAGTCGAACCCCCAGTATGGTGGGGTTCCGAGGGAAGAGGAGCAAGAGTGAGAAGAAAAGGAGCAAGAGAGAGGGGAATAGGTCCTGGTCCGGTCAGCTTTGGCTGACGCGCGGTTTTTCCGGGCAGCTTTCCTCAAGCCAAGCTTCTTAGTATCTATCTGGTCAGGATTCTTACCTACTGGTAGTCCGTGTTGTGTTGGTCCACAAAACAAAAGTACCCTATCATCACCTTATGGTATCATGGCCCCTGCATGATTGCATTACAATGTCACAAGGCAGCACATGTCATGCCCATCCCCTGAAAATACCCCAGACATGTAACTCTCCAGCAGCAACTGTCCTCACCTCACTCCTACAGCAACTCAGGGTCATTCGTTCCCCAAAAACCTACCAGCCATAACGCCTATAACGTAACCATCCAGCAGGATAAACCAGCACATCTCCCTGCATCGCGGTGCCTCAAGTCGTACGGTATGTCTCATCTCAGGGTAGAAGTGGTGGATTTCCATACCAGCGCTAGGCTGTCCTGTCCTGACTGCAAGCGGGCGCACAGCCTGCATTACCAGCAACATTGGTAGGACTACCTTAGGTTACAGGGAAGCGGGATAGGGGAGCTCGGCCCAGCAGATGTGGCGGTGCCCGAACCTCTGGGTCTCGGGGCAGAGAATCTCTGTTAGCAATAAACTGTCATAAGGCAACACATGTTCCGCTGCTCAATACACCCCAGCGACTAAGCGTTGTGGGCTACAAAGCAGGAGGATAAGCCAGCTCAGCCCAGCAGGTATGGCGGTGCCCGAACCTCTGCGTCTCAGGGTGGAGGATCTCTGCCAGCACCTCCAGGGACTCCACCAGGCTCGGCCCGGGCCTGGAGAACAGCCTCGCCGCCTCGACCACAGCCATGGTGGGCAGGCTCGGCGATGGGCTGTGTGCTGCCCTTGCACCTACCGAACCTCCTCCTGCTGCTGCTGATAATGATGGTGGCAGTGCTGATTGTGCCGCTGCTGCTGATGATTGTATGAACTGTTCTGTCCCCCCAGTACTGCTCACACCTTGGAACATTTTCCATTTCTGCACAGCCTCTCGTTTCACTGCAGCAATGGACGCTGGCAAATCACAGCCGCACACCGCAAAGATCACCGCATCGGCGGCTCTGACTAAATCCTGGAGCTCCTCCTCAGGAACCATCCTGGAACTTTCCGACCCCGTGCCGCCGGCCAATCGGATCAAATCTGGGACCCATGCCCCTGCCAGGAAGATCGGATCCAGCCATTGGATGCAGACAACTTTTTTTCTCGGTCTGCCCGCGCACATCCCACGAACGGTCTGGATTCGCTGCATGAGGTCCTTGGTCGTGGATTCGGCGCGCTGCGATTGGCCGAGAGCGGCGCCGATCCGACGGACATCGTTGATTGCCTCAACGAGGGATGGAGGGTCGAGATGAACGATCTTGACTTGTGAGCCGAGCACGTGAGACAGCACGTTCTGAACATCTTCGAAAGAAAGCACCCCGGGCTCTTCTTGCATCTGATTGGGTAAAACGGTGAGGGGCAGGGCAGTGTAACAGAAGCAGGTGTAGAGGGCTGGGGATGGAGATAAGCATGGGAGGTTGTTGTGGGCCTAGCACGTGAGAACGCTCGTTCTTTGTTATAGGATTGCAGGGTGAAACAGACAAAGGAATAAAAAATGTGATTTATATTATCGTTTTTTTTTTTTTTTTGGGAAAGTCGAAACGGCAAGATTGAGGTAATGAATGAGGTGCAATGGGGTGCACCGAGATGAGTGGAATCAAGAAGACGCATTCGATGGTATGATGAATGCCCTACAGGATCGGACGGGTGTTACAACTCTTATGCGCGCTACAGTTACATCTCTCACCTGCGTTACAGTTACATCTCACCTGCGTGAGGATTACGTCTGGTCGGAGGCGTTTCAGCATGGTGACATCCACACGGTAGGGCGAGAGAAACCACTCCAGCAGCAGATCAAACGAGGGCTTGGGGCTCCAGGAGACAAGGGAGCAGCAGTAGCAGCAGCCGTAGCAGCAGCAGCAGTGGCAGCAGCAGCACCAGCAGTTCCATTGCACCCCTATGTTAAAGCTACATCTCACCTGCGTGAGTATGACGTCTGGTCGGAGGCGTTTCAGCATGGTGACATCCACACGGTAGGGCGAGAGAAACCACTCCAGCAGCAGGTCGAACGAGGGGTCAGACCCACGAGGAGGAGACAAGGAAGCAGCAGCAGAACCCGCAGCAGCAGCAGAATAACCACCAGCAGCAGCAGAAGCAGTAGCAGTAGCAGCTTCAACGCCAGCAGCAGCAGTAGCAGGAGAGGCAACAGGCGGTTGTGGGAGAGGCGGCAGGAAGGCGAGTTGCCAGGCTGCAGAGGCTCGGAGCGTTGATATTGCCATGTGCACCTCGGCTTGGGACATTGCAGGCTCGGCCGACCCTGCGCCTGCCGGGCCTAGCTTAGGCTCGGTGCAGACAGGGATGGAGTCCGTACCTGGTGCGTCGCACTGGAAAGGGGAGAGGGAGAGAGGGGATGAAGGGAGAAGAGAGGGGGTGAAGCGGAAAGAGGAGAGGTTGAAGGGAGAGTAGTAGGAGAATGAGGGAGAATGGCAGAGAGGGGAAGAGGGGAGGTGGAGAGACGAGAAGAAGTGAGGAGGGGGAAGTGTAGATGTGGGAGGAGGACTGGTCATAGGCAAATGGAGACTACATTTCCGTATCGGTCACGCCTAACACATCACCAGAGTCACATTGACCACAGTCGCATTCACCAGAGTCATATTGAACACGGTCGCATTCACCAGAGTCACATTGACCACCGTCCCATCAGTCACATCCACCACAGTCACATTCACCTCGTGCGTGCGCGCAACCAGCGCGCTCGTCAATCCCAAGGCCGTCACGGAGTCCGTCGCGGCCGGCAGCAGCGACACCACGCGAAGCTTCCATTCCGACATTCTTGCCAACTAGCCGGCTTGTGAATTTCCGAGCCGGGATCCAGCAGCTAACGGCCTTCTGGAGCGACAGTGTGATTTGGTGACGGTCAGAACGACACTGCGAGTTAGTGACGGCTCACGGGACTACAATGCAACTAAAAGAAAGACACTCGCGACGCACTCCAACGGACCTTAGACTAGCTCTGTGGCCTTCAAGATTGTGTGAGTTCTGTCACTGGACCAGCGTAGCGAGCGCAAAAGAATTATATTTTCGCGACACGAACGACGTGGGTTCTGCTGCAAGGGAGAAACGAGTTACGTTTCCCAAAAAGCTTTCTCTAGGGAGGTGGTATGATTCCTCGTTAAAGAAAGTTCGTTAGAGGATACGGAACTGGACATTTCGCTCAACAAAAACCTAATAAACAAGATCACGGAATTGACATACGCATCCTCATGATCGACCAGTAAAGCAATATTAGGAATCTTATTGCAACATTACAGTGATAACAGGTCGTTCAGAACTGATGCCTTCTTATCTGCTCTTTTCTTCACCTTTTTGTACGATCCCCCTTGAGAGTCGCGCCCCTTCTGGTCTAACGCCGCACCCCTAGCATTCAAACCAGCTCCTATAGCTGCTTTCTGCTGCTTCACCTTTCCAACATTGCTTTTCTTACCACCTGCATTCACCGATGCGTTCTTCTCAAGAAGTAACTTCCCTGCAGCTGCAACTTGAGGCCGTGATTTCAACACCACCCCTCCATGCATCAACCCTTCATCGTTACTCGGTGCTCCACTCCCCCCAACACTCGGCCTGTTCACAGCCTGATCATCAACTCCCACCATCCTTGCAGCAGCACCGATGCCTGCCAGTTTCCTCTCTTTTTTCTCTCTAGTCCCAGTGTTGAACGGCCCTGATTCTTCCCGGGCCTTCCTCTCCTTTGAATCCTCTTCCCGCTCCTCCCCTTCTTCTCCTTCTTCCCTCTCTTTTTCTTCTCCCTCTTCCCCCTCCTCCATTTCCTCCCCTTCTTCTCCCTCTTCCCTTTTCTCCTCCACTTCCTCCCCTTCTTCTCCCTCTTCCCTCTTCTCCTCCAATTCCTCCCCTTCTTCTCCCTCTTCCCTATAAACTCCCCACCCCTCACCATCCGCCTCCACCCCCCTCTCTCCCTCCTCCATCTCATCGTTTCCCCCTTCAACCTCCTCGCTCTCCTCTCTATCCCCCTCACCACCCGTCTCCCCCTCCTCCCCATCTTCCCTCCTGCCATCCTCCCTCCGTCCCACCCCTTCCTCTCGCCCCCCATCCCCATCATCTCCCCCAAACCCCTCCCAATCGCCCCAACCAGCCACCCCCTCCCCTCCCCATGCCTCCCCACTGCCAAACACCCCCTGTGTCTCCACTGCCCCCTCTAACCCTTCAGCCGCCCTATCCCCAATCACCATCCCCATCACCATCACCACTCCCCTGTCCTTCCCTCTCCCACGTCCCCTTCCCCTCCCTCCTCCCCTGCCCATCTGCCCTTCCTTTCCCCCGACACTGCTGACCGGGGCAGAAATAAATTCTCCAAACCCCAGCTCCTGCATCAGTGCTTCCATGGACGGCCCATCAGCCCCAAACGGACCCCTGCTTCTCTCTCCACCATCTCTGCCTTTACCGTCCTCTCCCTGACCAAAAATCCCTTGCCTCGCTCCTGCTTGCTCCTCTCTCCCTTGCCCCTCTCTCCCTTGCCCCTCTCTCCCTTGCCCATCTCCTATTTGGCCCTTCAGCCTCTTGTGCCTTCCCTCTGCTTCCTGTGTCTCAACGCGTGTTCCTGCAGCGGGTGTGCCTGTAACAGGTGCAGCGGGAGAGGCTGCTACAGCTGCTACAGGAGCAAGTGTGGCGGGAGTGGCTGCCGCATTCTCCTGTGTAGAAGAAAGCGCGTCTGCAGTCATTAGTGCCCCACTCTTCACCTTCTTTTTCTTCTTGCTGCTGCTGATGCTGCTGTTGCTGTTAGTGCCGCTGGCTATGGTGGGCCTAGGAGTAGGGAAGGCGCGGGAGGAGATCAGGAGGGTCGAGGCTTGCCATGTGTGATATAGGCGGGGAGGGAGAGTTGGGGGAAGGGGGACCTGAGTGGGGGAAGGGATGGAAGGGGTGGAAGGAGAGTGAAGGAAGGGGTGCGGGGGAGAAAAAATAGCGGTTTGCAACGATGCAACGATAGGAAAAGGTGAGGTCAGCAGAG